AAGCATTTAATGGCGGCCCTAAGAAGCCTACACTGAGGATTTTGCTGCGAAATTACATACAAATTGACGATACTCTACTCCTGAATAAACCAGATCTTACCTTGGTCACTTCTGTGCCATCACAATGCCTGACTGAAGCCTAATCACAGATGCCACAAGACATTTTGCAACTGAATGGTGACAAGACTTGGTTATATTTTTTGGCACATCCTAGCGGATGCAAGATTGGAGCGCTGTCTAAAATGACTAAAATTCATTATGCTTTCTACCCTGCACTGGCTGGCTTTTATGTTTGGAATGCTACGAGGTCTCCAGGGTTCCAGGGTTCCAGTTGATCACTTGCATGCCCTCCTACAATGAGATTGTGGGTCCTTGCCCAGATGTCACCCAGAATTATTTTAATGCTTTACTTCCCAAGGTCACATGGATGCACGTGTAGCATGCATTAAGCTTGTTTGCCTATTTAACTCCACTTAAACTGCATAAAAATAATGTCTGTCTAGCCCTGCGTGCACCTGTTAACATTAAATGTAGGAATTATTTTAAAATTCAGTTTGTAACATATAAGCCTCCAGTGTACTGGAGATTTTAAAAGATTTAGAGCAGAACACCCAACATCTCTGCACCTCTATTCCATGCTGCTCTGAAAAGCTTTTCCAAAAAAAATGTGTTAGAGACTTTCAGGCCATCACTGTCCTCAGATTTCAGCTCTTTCTTTGTGTAAAATGGCTTTCCATAATACTGTACATGTACCTTGTTTTAATGAACTGGCTTTTTATTTTTCTTAACATTGTAGACCTATTTGAGATATTTCTATGACAAATGTTATGAAAGTGTTTCTTAAATTAGAAACCATTAGCAGCACAATGCTCCTTAATTCTGGCTGTGTGATTCTCAATTTGCGGAATTCAAGTAGGATTTTTTGGTGACAGACCTGCTTCTTAGAAATAAACAACCTTCTTTGACTAATGACAGCATGCCTAAAGCCTAAAATCGTAAAAACCATGAAATCTTCATATTCAAGATACTGTACCTGCTGCTCAAAATTAAGATATGGACATTTATAGATTCTTACAGATTGTTTTTTGAATGGTTCTTCAATTTATTGCAATCAAGGAATGAAAAAATAATCACCCTTTTGACGTTCCTGAATGGCAGGATTTAGATAAAAAAAAATAAGAAAATGACAAATGATGCATTTTAAGAGAAAATAACTCTTAAATAAACATTTTAAAAATCAGTATTGCAAAATACCTTCCCATGCGTCCCTTATCAGGAATGAAAACATGAAATAAGAAAATATACAGAAATAACAGGCTACAAATGATAATTTGCTGCAGAGAAGTGCTGGTTATTAAAATTGCTTGTTTTCTTCTTTTTTAAAAAAGTCAGGATGAAGTTAATAATGAGAAAACCTGGCCAGATGGCTCTGGGCTAGCACTGTTCCTGAGACATTCACTTAGACGCAGCCTTCTACATTAAATTGGATCACACTTCAGTTCACAGCTGATGCACACAGGCTTGGTAAAGTGCATCTTAATTTCACTCATGGAGAGTGTGGCTCACACAAACTGATGTGCCACTTAAAATGCATTTAAACAGTGAATTTAGCAGGAAGGCACCACTTCAGGTTCAGCAGCTTTAAGGAAGCTTGATTTTCCTTCCAAACTGTGTATGTGCCTGCAGTGAATATAGTGCTGAACGCTGATGAATTTAACATGTATTTCAGACTTATGGGTGGTTATGGGTATGGTTAAAAACCATACCACAAATCAATATACTGTATTCACAAGTCTACAACCTTAAACCTTATCATCTTGTAAAAGAAATGAAGAATAGAGAGCCCATGTGAATATACAATATACTTTTAGGAGAGGCTGCATTGCTGAAGGTATAAATCAACTTTTACTTCAGTTTGAAAAATTATCACAATTTTGCATCAATAGAAACAAGCACACTTCAGATTCTAACTATATTCAACACAGGATACTGTCTGCTCTCCGTCAGCGTGCTCTATGTCAGTAAGGACTACAAACTCACTTAAGGGAGGAACAAAACAGCTTACTTTACATAGTCTAGAAAGGACTTATTCAACTATTGTTGAAAATAAAAATAGTTAGGCATAGCATTTTCTGAAACAGAAGATGTGCTGTCATGCTGCCATATTGAATGGCTATGCTGACATGCAGTACAATTTCAGATATTAAACACAACAAAAGTCTGTATTAAACTACTTCCTGTAGTAAGAAAAGACTCCACAAAATCCACTTCAAAATCTTCCAACATAGTTGAGGCTAAAGAGAGATTTATTGTTTTTCAAAACACGTTTATCTTCTGCAAGCCTTCATGCCTCTTAGTGTCATATCTGGGGAGCTCAATATCATTAGTATCCACTAGTGTACAGTTTTAACACTGGCCTGGATCTTTTAGTCTTCAACAACATCATGTCACACTAGATGAAATTACCCACGGATTTTTAGCAACTCAAAGAAAAATCAGAATTGATTTATGTTAGCCTAAAGAGGTAAATGGGAACTTTTCTGAACTGGTAAAATTACTTTATTGTCATTGTAGAGACTGAAGTCATCGTTTTAATAATTTTAATACTTTATTAATATTTTATTCACATTTTAAAATCCAGAGACAAACAGGACTATACTAAATAAAAGTACAACTTTACAAAACTTTCTGTAAGCCCATATCTTCTGGGAGGAAATTATAAAACAAGTTGGATCCTGTTGTTTTTTCATGTGCACAGCAGACTCATTGGATCATTATAAAAACAAAACATCAGCTCCATGGTTGCCATCTAATTTTAAAGTGAAAAATGCTTTTTCTTCAGTATACTATGGTAGTAGTATATTAGTACTTGTTTTGACTTCAGCCACTATATTTTTTTTATTTAAAAATACAAAATGCTACTTTGTTCATCCAGCAAGCCAATAGCTCTCTCTGTTCTCTGAAGTTACTTTGTTCTCCGACATTAAGGCAGGCTTAGTTCTGCAACACGACAAAAGACGCAGTCTTCTAGAGAAAAGGGGAAAACATCAAACTGGAATCATGAACATGCAGCACAAACTTGGAATAGGATTCAATTTTCTTCAGCAACATTTAGCTGCACTGAAAAACTAATTTAGGAGAGGAGCCTAAATAACCCTTTGGCATCTCTTACTTAAATCACCCTCTACTCATATCAGAAAAGGAATAGAACATGGCAGATATTCATATGCTGACATTAAAGACATGTTTATCTATTATTATCTATTATTTGTTGAAGTTGTAGAATTTGTTGAGTTCTAGCTACTCGGGGAAGACTTCCGCTGTTGAGTCTCTAAAAGGACTTTGCCACAGAGAAGAATATTATAGGTCTCTACAGTCCGGGTGTTACTTCAGCTACGGACAATAGACAAATCTATTGTAGTGGGCATAGAAAGTATGTATATAATAATTATAATAATAATATAGTGCTTTTCTGGAAGAAGTGCTTCACAGATAATGGGGTCTCCACCAAAACCAATGTGCAGCCCCACCTGGATGATGTGACGGTAGCCATAGTGCACGAGTATGCTCCGCACACCAGCTATCATGTCAGTGTGGAGGAGAACAGAATGATGAAGACAATTCATAGATGGCGATTATTAGGAGGCCATTATAGGTCTCCTAATCTCAATTTCCTCCCGAGACAAATACTGTAGGCATAGGCATTGTTATTTACTTTTCGTAAAGCATTGTAGCAATAAGATTATTTAATTCTATAGTTTGACAACTTTAGGTTCCTGAAAATGGTAGCTGACATACTGTTTGTTAAAAAAATGCAGTTCATCCCTCTAATACAAACTTTGCAGAAAAGAAAGTGACAAACATGATTCCTCTAAAATGTGCACAACTAAGAACAACAAGAACTCCCTTTTCAACAGCACTAGGAGGAGGACTGCTGTAGTTATGACTCATAAGACTACAATCTCAGGCACCAACATTACACAGATGAGAAAAGGAAACATTTAACCTTAAAACCCACAGTTAACGACAGGGCCTAATCTATACATTGGTAACATAATCACATAGAGATACAGTATGATCCATATCTGCCAGGTTTGCCTATGCAAATGTGCATGTTAATGTTAAATACATTAGGGAAATGGATTGCTTCACTCTGCACAAGGGAATGCCCCTTAGATTGTACATCGTTTTAAATTCGGATTTATTAGATCATACATCAGAAGGCCTACATCTAACTTTGCAAGATGCTTTTGTTAATTCAGTTATTTTCAACGTATATAGAAACAAGGTGAACAAAGTTTCAACAACAAGGTGAACACCTGCAATCGCTACAAACAAAACAATCGTGCAGACTCTGGCATTTTACTCCAATGACATCTTACTCTGAAAAATCTAGCCATTTTGCCAACCATCCTTTGATCCTGAGAGTGTCAGGGAACAAAGCTTTACTTGGATAATGGATTGTCAGCCATGGAGTGATGCCTAGGGAAGCCCTTAGTTCGGTCGACTTCACGGAGGAGACCTCTTTCCTGAGGACAATAAACCACTGAGGATGTACCTGATGGCTGGATCCTAACCTCCAAACACTATCTCAGAAATACCTGCAGGGAGACATCTTATTAAACAGCATGTTCATTTCATCAAAACACAGCCTCCTGAAGCAGGGGTGTTTTTACACTCCTGAGAACCCAGGAACGTAGCCTTTCCATAACAGGATCCTATACAAGACAAGCACTGCTTGCTGTTCAGGATAAACTCAAGACAGGCATTATATGGCTTCTTCTCATGACACGCTGATCCTATAAACGCAGGAATCTTTCTGTATCCTTATAGTTCTTATAATGAATTGAATTGTGAATTAGGCCTGTGATAGCTGGGAGGAAACCCTATCAAGCCCAACAATGGATACAGAAATGGTGGACCAAAGGCATTATCGGAGAGGCTCTGGGTCAGAATTGATCTTTTCAACCATTTCATGGCACACTTCCAACGTGACTCACCTCACCAGAATGCGAACGGCCTTGTTGGTGCTGCCTCCTGTTTCTCTCAGCTCAGGGTTGGAGTGAGTGTTGGGTCCGTCTAGATATCACTGCTGGTGGGAAAGACAGCTGCAGTGAAATTGCCTCCGTTTGATCCAGCTCTCCTGTGTCATTTTGCCACTCCCTGCCATAGAAATCCTGCTGAATGTGGTCTAGTCTTGAGTCACCTTTGCCACGATATTATCCATTGTACGGAGAGAGCCTTACACACATCCTTCCCTCAGTGCTGCTCTGTTTGGAGAATGTTTTCAGCTCCAAAGAGTTGCCAGTTCCTGAAAAAAGACACATGAAACATTTGAAAACTTCTCATGTGGTAAATGGCATTCCACACAAATGTAACTGTAGGAAAACACCACCACACAATACAGTTTTTGACTCAGCTGACTGATTTCAAACCAAAAATAAAGTTGTGTCCAAATTTACAGTTTAACCCTTGGGCGGCAATGAGTTATTCAGAAATTATGTTTTTTCAGGTCTTAATTATCTGCAATACTTCAGTGCTGAAATATGGGGACCAGAAAGCACAGCCCCCAAAAAAGGAAAATGAACAGAATGCAGCACAGAATACAATAAAAACAAAAAATGAAATAAGTAAATACAGAAACAAGGAATCACATTAATTGCTTAATTTGTTTGGAGATCTGTGGTGGAGTTTTACAGAAAAGCTCCCTCTTGTAAAGAATGATATCTCCTTAACATCTTCTGAACAAAAAGAATAATTATTCTAGATGAAAGGTAGGAAAGATGGCAAAATAAATGATTGAGCGGAAGCTTTGAACCTCAGTCTTCCGTTTAGTTTTAAAATTCCATCCTTTAGCAAAAGCCCTCCCATGACCTCTTTCTAACCACTCACTTCTGTGAGTTTAATTATCCAGCAAACCATTCCAGGTGAGATCTGCATTTCATTGATGGGTACAAGAATTATTTCTTAATTGGAGATTTAACATGGAAATCTAAAAAAGCTTATTACTTATGAAATTGTTCTATGTACTGTATATCCTACAGTTACAAATTATGCAGATTAAGCTCTTAAGTGTAACTTGCCTAAAACAGAACAGTGGAGTAAGCCAAAGATGAGACTGCTACATTTACACAGGTCTCTTTTAGGATACCTGTGAGAGGACTTAGGATCAAGTAACCCCAAGAAATTTTAAAGTTTGGCAGCATCCAGAGGTTGACCTGCAGAGACTCAGAGATCTAGAGTGAACACAAACTGGCCTTTTGTTGGCTTGAAAACAAAAAAAAGATGTTGCATAGCAACATTCTCTATTGTAGTGAAATGTCATCAGATTAGAAACGGGAAATAAGAGGTGTTGTTCAAAACAAAAGGATAGAGATGCAAGCAGCATTTTTTGTAAGGCGAGTGTTTTACTGTTAAAGTATATTATACTGCTGATTGATATATTAGTAAATCTAGTTAACATAGTACTTGTAGATCAGATCTAGGTTTCAGATACCTTCACTAAAACTTCATGAGAATAAATTTTTAATTCCTGTCCCAGAGTAAAGCATTTTAACAAGACATATTCGATATACTGTATATTGGTGCAGATGAAACCCTGACAATCTAACAAGGTTAGGCTTTGTACTCAAGCAAATGAGAATTAGGTCGACTGGACTAGTGCCCTGCAATCGCTTTCCAAGGAAATGTAAAAAGTGTGCTTGTTTATGCTTTACATCTTCATAGTTTTGATTCTATAATTACTTACCTATTTTACCTTAAAAAAATAAGAACCCAGAGGTTCTTCTAAAAGTGCTTGGAGCACTTTAATTTTCCATTACTGGTCATACACCAGCGAACGTAGTGCTTTGTCATTGTTGAAAGCCACTCAGAGAGGTGTATTGATTTGGAGTTTTGATCTTCCATTTGCCATATGTATCCATAAGTGGTCAAATTTATCAACTAAGAACAGCCAAGCTCATTTTACACAGCATAAAATGCTGCGGCTACTTTCAATTACATTTTGACCTTTTCACCCTCAACTGTAAACTTGAGCTAGAAAATATCACCATGGGAGCCAACCATATATATTCAAATATAAACCTGACAGGGCATAACACAGAAATTCAAGTTTATAGATCTTGGGACTAGAGCTATATTTATACTCTGAAGACAAGCAGTAATGAGCTACAAAGCAAGTGGAACAAACTTGAGAATTAGCTCATTTTACATCATTTCTGACAGCAAGAACAATTATCTATCTGCTTCAATTCAAACATCTTAGTTTCATGCTCAGGTAAGGGAAAGGCAAGAACAATAAAAGGTCAAAAGAAACCCCAGTAGGAAAATAAAATAATTATATTTTGTTAACTTCCAAATTGATAATTGAAGATAATATATTTATTTCAAATGATAGTTATGGTGAAAGCCTGCTATTCCTTCAGCAATTTCACACGAATAACCTTGATCAGAGACATACTGTAGGACCACAGGATACCACCCATGGCCTTCATGATCTGTTGTGATGAATGTACCACTAACACTCTCTGTTGCCTGGAGTGGAAGGGAGTGGAGGCATTGGGCCTGGGATCCCCAGAGGTTCTCAAATGGGAATTGTTCTTTCCTATCCTCCATGCCCAGATGGCCAGCTGTTATTTTAACTGTAATATAGTATATTTTATAGTATACGGTTTCAAAAGGTATTATACAGTAAGAAACAGAAGACAGATTGTCTTAGATCTGCGTGCTTCAAAGACATTTTTCACAGGTATATGTATCTTTTAACCATGTGGGGTACAGAATATATATAAAAAACAATTTGTACAGTCTGAAAAGAGAGACAATGATAAAAAATCAGACTTATCAGGTCTCAAACCCCTTATTTGGTTGCCAATCGGTGGAACCTATCTACATTATACACAAAAATTATTACCTGTTTATCAATTATACCTCTAGGAATCTGGTTTTAAACATTTCTATCTAGGTCAATTTCAATGAAAGACAAAAATAAAAATAGTGTTATACTTAAAGAGTGGAAGTTGTATTTGCCTACAGGCACAATTCCCAAATTACAGTACTATCAATAATCAGGTACAATGAATTGGTCTCCTGCAGCTAAAATATCATTTGATTCCTTGAATCTGTAAAGTGATTTTCATTTAAAAAGATCCCTAAAGTTCTTATACACATACAGTAAGTGATAAAACTGGTGATTCAGCACCAGCCCCATTACATCAGCAGATCAGGTGGAGAAATTGTTTCACCCATTTAATTAAGAGGATACTGTCAAATTATAGAAGTAAAATTTAGCCACTGGAGTTACATACTTGACCTTGAAAACATTGTTATGAGATCTTCAGTGATCAAGAGTACTTGGATTTTGTAGTATTATTTTGCATTAATTGTAAGATGGATGACTAAAATGTAAGTAGCTAGTGGAAAAACATGAATGGTGATGGTCAGACGTTATTTCTTAGCTTGAAGAATGTTTTTAATAGCCTTATTAATTCCTTAAGTTCTGTCAGTTTCCCTGAATGTGTTCCTTTTTGTATTTTTTGGATTTTAGAAAATGAATTTTCTTAAAAAACCAAAACAAAGTAGCACTCCCAGTAATTTCCATTTACAGTATGAGTGCTATGAAATGTCTTTTTATGACTCCTTGGATATAATTGGGATAATTTGTTGCTGTGTATTTCCATGAATAAAAGATAATACTGGGTACGTTTCTTAAAAGATCATAGATTTTTTATAAGGACTACATATTTGTAACAGATGTAAAAAGACAGAAGCTCTGCTGCTTTTGGGTTGCTACAGTATACTTTAGATTTTCAAAGGGGTGGTTCTTGTACATGATGATTTGCATTGAAGAACTGTCCATAAAAATTCTAACAGCTTACTTTTTGACCATGGAAATCACGAGACACATCCAAACAGTGCCTCAGGGGAAATATCCTGACTCACTAGCATAAAAGGGATTCATCAAATCTTATTATTAACCCCTCATAAAAACAAGTTGCTTTTATTTTGCAATATAAGTGGTTTAGCGTGAACATTTAGGTTGATAAGTGTTATTTTCATTAATAGTATTTTCAAAGGAAATGTAATTTGCAAAAGCGAGCACAGATGCTTCTGTTCTTACACCTGGCACCGTATTTAGAAATGACAGTATAGGCCCTAGGTGTTAGGAATAGTAGTAATGGCTGGTGAGATCTAGAATTGTGCTATCAAAGAAAAGGGGTAAAGGAGAAACCTATTATGTTCTTCATTTGTCCTGTCATATTGCTCTGAAAATCCTGGCCCAGTTGTGGCCTAAATAAATCTCTTACACATCACAGACACCGGTCCTCCCTTTAGGAGAGGACTCAATAAGCACATGTCAATTGTATTTTCAAAAGACATACATGAAGAGCTCTAACTAAAGGAAGCAGACAAGATGCATTTCAATTAAAGGAACTACCACCCACACCACTGCCAATACAGAAACTTCTCAAGGCTGTGCACACATCAACAAAAAGCTGCTATTTAAGAACCTACAGTAACCAGCCTCAAAACAAAGCATGCTTTCACAGGAAATACTCAGAATTATGAACAATGGGATAAACAGATTATCTAGTAAACATGAATGCCAGTACTGTAGATACTGTATAAAATCTCCTCTATGATTAACAGTGATTGTTGCACCATTTTCACAAGAGATACTGTATATAGCAAAGCAAGAAACTTACACTCATTATCATGGTGACAGAGGCTGGAGAGCAGACTCTGTCACATACAGTTGTGATAAAAAGTTTGTAAACTCTCTTAGAAATTATATTAAACCTATTTCTCAATAAAGATATGACAATGTAAAACGTTTGTTTGTTAGATAAGACCGTCTTTATTTATTATTATGACTCAGATGAAGATCAGATCACATTTTAGGAGCCATTCATGCAGACATCCAGATAATTCCAAAGGGTTCACAAACGTTTTCTTACAACTGTAACTCATGGGCTGCTATTGTAGTTTGTACCAGGACACATTAGGCAATTGTGACCCTAATTCATTAGAAGCATTCAACCAACCACATTCCAGCTCCACCTGGTGGGCTGGAACTTCCAGGTATCGTCATCTTGACGAATCACTGCAGCCCTTGGGCTTTGCCAGATTCCTGCGGTCTTGCAGGATTAACAAAGAGGGCTGCATCTGACCTTCATCAGATGCACAAGCTCTGCTGTTGCCTCCATGTGTCTTCTGGAGGATGAGGATAATCTTTAAATCTTACTTCTGCTTTCACTAGGGTTGTAGTGAGCTAATTTAATGAAGGGATGGCAATTTCACATTCTGATGAGA